CACACACACACACCGGGATCGTCACAATATGCGTTTTTGCATTTGCATATAAGCAAAAACGCATAATTAGGATTTCTAATGCAGTTTATTACCTGGACAAATACAAACACTGAGACATATGCAAAATGCATTAGAAATGCGCGCAAACTATAAAAACTTGTAAAAAAATTATTGTGCTAAGAAATGAAAATAAAGCTGAAACCACAAATAGTTTTAAAGAACATATAGTTTCGTCAACACAGTTTTCATTCTAGGCTACGCAGGATAGCTTCCAAACAACTACTGTTGTGAACGCTGCAATATTGACATTTACTACCAAGGGAGGTGATATACCCGACGTAACCCAAGCAACAGCAGCAGCAACAACAACGATAGCCGCTGACATCAAAACCGCCGTTTCAACAACATCGCAATTTCCAAAATTGGAGTCCACAACGAATTCTGCAGGACAAAATGATGTGAACTCAGACGGCATTTCGAATAATGTGACAGAAAATGCTGAAGTTACCGCTCAGACTTCAGAACAAATAAATAACAATTCCGTGGATGCGGAGGCGTCAACGGAAAAATCGAAAATAACCGAAACTACTCTTCCGTCGGGCATCGCCAAAGGAGTAGCATGGCAAAAGGCTTCAGTGGGCTCTTTTCAGAAGCCGCTGCTCGATGGCCGGCAGCGTGAACTAATCACTGACAAAGTCTGGATAAAAGAATATACTACCGGAATGTTGCGGCCGTTGGAGGGATCCAAAATGGTTAAAAATACTTCAGTGCCTCTTTCAGATACTCAGGATGAAAACGAAAATTTGGCAGATCTTGCTAGGACGGATGTTGCTGGAGTGGATGAAATCTTAACAGATCCGATGGCAGTTGCTGTTAATGCGCCAATAAACAAAACAGCAGCTGAGATAGTTTCTTCGCCAGTGCTGCGTGAAATGGAAGAAGCTACTACATTTATGAATGTTTTCAAGATGGGCCCTTCATCAACTGATATGAAAGGAATTTTGTTAGAAAGTAGCGTAGATGAAAAAAATGAATTCAATGGGACTGAGTCTGGAAAACTTGGCACAGAAATTTTGAACGAAGCGCTTCTAAACGACACTGCGCATTCTAACGTAGATATTCTAAAAGGAACCAGTACAAGTGATGGGAAACTTTCCGTAGAGGCATCGGAAGCTTCGTCAGTTCCAGTTGCTGAACAAATATCCAGTCCGCATTCGATAGCAGAGCTAAGGAGTGGGCCAAGCCTAGTTGCAGGGTCAAGTCACAGCTCAAAAAGTAGTGGGTACGTAGGCACTGATAGGATTTCCTCGTTCGGCAGTGAAGCGTCTACCACGCAGCTATCGTCAACTATCACACAGTGGGCACCGAGCGCGTTTACAGTCAGGGTGACAACTGCTCCCCCACAAACAGCAACCGACGAAGAAGACAAAAAGCCATTCGAAATTTCAAGAGACGATGAAAGCCATCTGCACAAAGAGGACCTCATTGCTACGAAGATAAACCTGTTTTCTACAGTTATCAATGTGGCAAATTATAACGACAGTGGTGTGCAAGGCAGTGACGACTATGCAGTATCTTTACATACTGGGTTTCCGATAACAGATTTTGAGCAGTTTGACCATCGTATCGAAGATGCAATATCAACAGCGGGGCCATTACTGACCCCTTTTCGAGCACAGGCTGCTCGTACACCACAAGTGGACCGAACGAAACCTAAAATAAGTGATACGTTTGAGGACAGCACACCTGAATTGGAGAGTACTGTAAATAATGACAACTTTTGGCGAGAAGCCAGCGCAGTAAACAGTGAT